GGGCTTTCTAATCTAGTTTGTACGTGATCTAATCTGTACTATGTAATTTGATAAAGGTAGAGTTTATTTGTTTGGACGCGCTAATCTTTGAAACTGCTGCTCGGGTTTGAATTGCGTTCGGATGTAATAATAGCTTCATTAGAGAACTCTTTAGTTTCCCAGAATAGTTACATGCGTAGTTGCTAAGAATCTTTACTTCTATTTCCAAAACGATTAATCTTAACTATTGCAACTTTTAATTTCAAAATCTTATGCAGAATGAAGTCCAAATAACTTGTTTTATAATAAACTAGTTCTATTATTCTAATAAAGCCATGCCAGTTTTTATTTAAGTAAAAACTTAGGCTGAATATCTCAAAACAAAAATAGCGATACAGCCCCCATTATTTTACCGGATATTTCCGTAACGTCATACAAACATACTTACATAATAATATGTAATTTAATACCGATTTTATAACAATGCTCTTCTTGTCTCCGAAGTAATTCGTCATTGTATGACCTTCAAGTAGTTTGCCGAGATGCTTAGCACGAATTGTTTATATTGCCGCCGGTTCGATGCCAGTCACGCGAGATTTGACCATGTGAGGAGACCGGAATCATTTTTGGGTGTAATAGACTGTATTAAAAAAGTGTGTGCAATCGAATTTACCGAATAGTGTCTGTGTTTTTTGGTTTGGTTTGTGAATTTTGTGGTGGTTGTGATCTTGTTTTTTTTATTTTAGGGAGATGATTTGCTTTTTATATTACTTAATTGTTTCTCAAACAATAATTTCTAATAGTACTTTTGATTCTTTTCCTAAATGTTTTTTTTTGGTTTGGTGTTAAGTTTAAGAATTTTGTCTGGCTAGTTAGGCTTTCAATTTGCTCTTTTTGTTATGTTTGTTATCGCGATTTGAAGTGTTTTTGTTTATAATTTATTGGTTTAAGTAAATTACTTTGGTTCCTTTAAAGTGATAGAAAGATTTGATCTTATTTCTTATAATATGCTTATTTCTCTTCAATAATTATTGTTATCAACATAACACATAAACATAACATCACGCCTTTTTTATCCCCAAAGGGGTAGGCAGAAGTGCACATTTCGGCAGTTAATGCCACTGTACAATGTAACACCCACTTTTCACTATTTATGTTATAAGTCCCATGTAATAGGGGGTGAGCCTATTGCCATATACCGGGCACATTTTTCCAGACTCCGTGCTACTACTGAGATTTTTAAAAACCCAGTAATACTTTGCCCGACCCGGGAATCGAACCCGAGACCCCTTGCCCGGCAGTCGCACTTGCGACCACTCGGCCAATGAGGCAGTCCTTTTGTTATGAGTCTAATTATAATAGGTAGCGAGATAATCAGTATGCAAAAATAGCAGTATTATTTTTAAAGTCTAGGAGTAAAATATGACATCATCGCTATGGTATCTTTAATAAGAAGTATTTTATGTCCAGTCATTGTAAATTTGTCTAACAAATACCTTAGAAGATACACATTTGAACTGCCGACCGTTGTGTTAACGCTTAATTAAACTTTATACCTAGAAAGCAAACTTAAGGCTAATCACCAACTACCCGTAAACCATCTTTTAATTCATAGTAACTTAAAGTGACGTACCACTTAAACTAGCCCCTTATTTATACTGTTAGGTGTCCCCTTTAAGGTGACAAAAGCCATAATGATAAGTGTCATCTATCTTTGCCTAGGGGTTCCTTTAAATTTAAAAGAGGTTAATAAAAATGGGCATTGGATAATCGTGCTTTCGACCACTTGATTAACGTCGTTTTGTTTTATGTATTACTAGCTTTTACCCGCAGCTTCGTTCGCGTCACAAAAGAATAAAAAGTAGCCTATGTGACATATACCAATACACACAGCGCCATCTATACCAATACTTTTTTATTTCCTCGGGACTTCTAACTTTACGTCTGCAAAAATTCAAAGCAATCGGTCGAGTAGTTATGGCGTGAAGGTGGAACAAACAAACAAACAAACAAACTCACTTTCAGATTTATAATATTAGTAAGGATAAGGATAAGGATATTTATAACATGAGCTCCATACAAAATGTGTCAAAATTCTATTTCTAGTAAGCAAATCTACAGATAGATAGGTTATTGGAATATAATAACAGATGGATAGGAAACTGGCTGCAAAAAGACTTATTTATTTTAAAGAGTTATCACATCCATTAATCGCGTCTAGTGGAATTCTGGTATACACAGAATTACAAAATAATTTCTCGCAATGACGACAATGTGATTGTTTTTATCGTGTGCTTATCAATACCTTGTTCGTAAACACTTGGATTTTAGGGCTTTGTGTTATTTAAAGATATGTACGCATGCATACGCATACTTAGATACCAGTAGTGGTAGTATTTAATTTTATTTTTAATACCTATTTGTTAAATGATTATTTTAATTAAGTTTTTTATATGTTCTATTTCTTTCCATTAACATATCAAAACGGTTTGAAAAACCGACGTGAAACAACGCTTGCGTTGTGTTTCGTCGTATGAGTGAGGTTACAGGAGGCCCAATTACCCTCCTCCATTCCCAATCTTCCCCATTCCTAAATCCCTAACAATCTTAAGGCCGATAACGCACTTGTTACAACTCTATTGTTCCGGGTGTCCATGGGCGACGCCGATTGCTTACCATCAGGTAATCTGTTTGCTCGTTTACCGGCTCATCTCATAAAAAAAGGCTGCGAGGTATGGAGATTTTAGAGGTAGCCCATAGTCTCTATAATCCAGCAGTTTATTGTCACGGAGCTGTTGATGTTTATGCATATATATATTATTGTACATACATCAAGGACTGTAACATCACCTTTAAGAAAGATACATAGTTATTATATTACGTTAGTCCAAATAAACAGAATTATCTCGACTCAAATTAGGTCGGTACACTACTGAATGAATCATTGCGGTCTTATATGTATTGTATGTACAAAGATAAGATAGTAAGTTGATCCTTACAAAAATAGATGTGCATGCATATTAGGCGTTGATACTGTTTAAACTGTCAAACACCAAGCGGTCACCGGTGACCGCGACCTATTGTTCTTTAATTGTGTCTATAAAACCGGTACTCGACGAGTTAATATAATAATATTACATTCTAACCTTTCATAATGTCGCGGAGAACCCAACGGGTTACTGGGGCTCCGGCTCGACGTGCAGGAGAAGGAACGGGGTGGTTTTTAGTCAGTAAGAGTCTGACACTTCCTCCCGTCTCACCCAGGCGGGAGCAGTCATTAGATGGTTTTCCTTTCCCCCCTTAAAAAAAACTTTTCATAATACCCTTAAGTGTAGGTATGTTGAGGTTAGGGATAGTGAGAGTTCCTGATCGATGATAAAATGTCGGGAAGCCATGTTCTCTAAAAAATATGTGTTGGTGCAATATGTTAAAAGTTGATGTCTCGCTGGTTCGAAGTCCTGCTCATGTTATTTATTGAGAGACTTTAAAAAAGAAGAAGTCTAAACCTCTTGTATGTCGATATTTAAGGCACACTAGAAAACGCATTGTGTCTCGTGTAGGTCTAAGCTCTGACATACCAGAGGTTAATACGACGAATCCTCTTTTTTATGAAACTTATTTAGTTATTTGTCTTGATTAACTAATGTTAAAGGATCAGCTTTTCCTGCCAGCTCATTTAAATAATACATATTTTATAGTTACCAATCACGTACCAACATTTCTGTATTTACATAGAGGTACAATAATGTAATTTATATGTAATTAATATCAGATACATATCTTCAATTGGGTACTTGCCAACTAGTCAAATTGAAGACTTTTTCGAGCTGTCAAAAACGACAGTTTTCTATGAATTTTGGACGAGATTGTGTATTGTGACGTCACGTTTTTTTAGCGTCAAACAGCATACTTATTTCTTAAAAAAATATTAATTAAATATTGTGATTATTTTTAAATATTTTATTGTATTAAACAGTCGAAATAATTTATTTTTGATTAAGTTAAGTACCCAATTATTAATATTATGTATTGTAACATGATTATTCTTTCCAACGGCAAAGTTAGTTCTGTTAATGGTTAATTGCATCAAACATTGTTTGTTATCCTAATGTCACATTCATCACGATTACCTTGCCACGTATTCTCCATTACGTATTTCACGTCCTTCTCCTGCGTGTTTCACTATATATAATAGCTCCTCAAAAAAAACCTCTAGTCTAGAGTCTAGTAAAGCTGCCACAAAAACACAAACCATTCTTAAAAAAGGTATCACTTATACATTACTCCATGTAACATAAATATGTAAAAAGCACATGAATATTAATTCCTACCTAAGCAAAGATACCGAAATTCGCTGTACATTGCTCGGTATATTCCCGTAAGAACGGTAAAACTCAAAATGCCTGACGTAATGGATTGGAAAATTGACTGCAAAAGTTGTAAAAGAATAGCTTCATTATTCTCTCAAGGCAAGTATAACGCTATAACTCATAGTGAGGTAGGCAGGGATATATGAGCGTAATTTATGAATCTCTGACATATGGAGATGGGTCTGAGAGTAGAAATTTTTATAGAATTAACATTTCTTTTTCGCGTGTTTTATTATTATTATCTAGCTAACTAATGGCAGTGGTTTAATCTATGTAAAAAGAATGCTATGTTTTATTTTATACTACATATAATCTATCTCTATGCCAGGTTTGTATTGTATGAAAGAGTATCTAACAAACACACATCCATACATCCTTACAAACTTTTACATTATAATAATATTAGTAGGACAGTTGGATGTTATTTACCCATAGTTATGTATAATATGTTATTTACTTTTGTTAATTAAGTAGAGACTTATTCAAAGAAGTAATGTTGAAATAAATACTGTACCCAGATAGATAGAATTTGGTTTTCCTCTGTAGACATTTTAATTTGGTTATCACAAACAGACTGATAAGTAGGCTTTGCTTAACGGTATTGTTTTAGTTAATTAATGAATAGGTTTTAAATTAAATATTTGTTTACAGATATAGAGCGAGGGCCAGACCATGATGAGGCCGCCCATCCGCTGCTTAACCCCGCAGAGTCTGGTGACTTACGCATCAGAATGGCCAGGCCTAGGCATCTGGGACTGTGAGTAACAACTACATTTTCATAACTTAATTTAACAATGACATTTATTTTGGTATAGCCTATAGATAGATGATTGGGGCTGATACATATATTTTTATGCAGATGATGAAATAAAGATTGGTTCAGTACGAAACTGTAGTCATTATTATGGATAGGGATGATGACAGGGTATAAAAATTAAAAATCCAATTAGTCCGTCACTTAGGTAATGAAAAAATTATAGACACGTATTTTTATATTTTGTCGTATAAGAAAACAATACTTAGATAGGACTCATAACATAAATAGTAAAAAGTGGGTGTTGCATTGTAAAGTGGCGGTGCCGTAATGTGCACTTCTGCCTACCCTTATAACATGTATGTTATGTAACCTTGAACTCCCTGTTGATCAGTTGTAGCCGTGTGCGTTCAAGCACTTGACGATACTATTAAAGTAGCCATTAGTCAATATCGTTAAAAGGTTTTCCAGTTCTAATTGCCTTTATCACGGAGTAATAGATGTTTAATGATAAAGTAAATCTACCGTTAGAGCATAATGATAGAATGATCAGTCATTCGCAAACATACCGCGGAAGCATAGCCTGACTAATTGAGATACAATTTATTTCTATTTAATACAATATTTTGATTGATACGATGTTGTTGGTTACGCCAGTTTTTTAACGAAGGGTAAGTTGATAAACAGAAACCTTGTTTAAGCTAAAGGAATATGCAGATATACATATATGTTTATGAAACCTAAAAGGGAATGTTCTGGCAATTACAGAAGGACGGGTTTAGCCTTTAATCTTACATCGGACATTTTTTCAATTTCTATAACTTCGAAAATCGAATAATGCAGTAACAATTTTGTCCTACCTGATGATTGAATCCGAAAGAGAACTGTGAAGAGTAGCATATATTTACATTTTTAACTGACTTCCAAAAAGGAGGAGGTTCGGTTCGCATAATTGCAATGTGCTACTAATTAAGTGCTACTAATCAACTTTTAAATGTGGGAGAGCCATGCTTCGGCACGAATGGGCTGGCTCGACCGGAGTGACCGGAGAGAGGAGAGACCACGGGCTCACAGAAAACCGACGTGAAGCAACGCTTGCGTTGTGTTTCGACGTGTGAGTGAGCTTACCGGAGGCCCAATTACCCTTCCCTTCCCCAATCTCTCCAATCCCTGAAGCCCCAACGATCCTCAAATCCCCAAAAGGCTGGTACCGCACTTGTAACGCCTCTGATGTTCCAGGTGTCCATGGGCGACGCTGATTGCTTACCATCAGGTGATCCGTCTGCAAGTTTACCGGCTTATGCCATAAAAAATCTCTACATTAAACAATCACTATTTTGTTCCAGGGATGGCCGCCCACCTCTACCCAAGTTGATAATGCCAGACCTGACTCCTTCATCAGTAGGTTCTACTGTAAACAGTACTCCGATGATGGAGTCAGGTGCCATCGTGCCCAAACCCTGGAGGAGAGGAGATAGGAGACTGCAGAGGTTGAACACAGAGTTATTGGAGGCTATTGAGACACATGATCTGGAGGAAGTTGAGAGGTAAGAATACATTTTTCTTTTTTTTATTTTGCCTGGGATAATACTGGAATTTCTTCCTGTGTCGTGGGATTGTTTACAATCACAATTTTACAAACAAATCAGTTTGTGAATCTTTCAAAGAATGTTCTGTGTGAGAATCGGTCATGGATTTTCTTGTACCCATTGAAAACATAGGTACCTACAATAATGACATTTTGTCCTTAGACTGCCTCGTTGGCCGAGTGGTCGCAAATGCGACTACCGGGCAAGGCGTCTCGGGTTCGATTCCCGGGCCGGGCAAAATATTACTGGGTTTTAAAAAAAATCTCAGTGGTAGCACGGAGTCTGGAAATGTGCCGGTATATGGCAATACGCTCACCCCCTATTACATGGGACTCATAACATAAATAGTGAAAAGTAGGTGTTCCATTGTACAGCGGCATAATGTGCACCTCTGCCTACCCCTTAGGGGATAAAAGGCGTGATATTATGATGATGATTTGTCCTTAAAATCGAATTTGTAACAGTCTTGTCAGTCAGGAGCCGTGCTTTTGTTTTTTACAGATTGAACATTAACTTTCTAACTTCCGACAGTTTCGAAGTTCACACGCGTAAAGACCTATAATAACATTAGGTATTGGTTTTTCAACTTACAACCTAAATACATATTTCCCTACATGTTAGTTTAATATTAATTAATCCAGATAGCTATGTAGTTAATATGTAATTATTTAGGTACCTACTGAGCGCGTACATAATAATTATGTAAATTAATAATTAATATCCTGCTCATTACTAGCGCCTGAACAAACATTGGGGAATGCTAAAATTATTCTGTTTGCGTTTAGTTTGTATTCAGGTAACTCTTGATTATATGATATACTAATAACGTGACGTCATAGCCTACTAATATTAAATGTAGGGTAGTAGTAACTACGCATTTTAGTCACTTTAAAATTGAGAAAATAATATCTTAAACCATACGTTGATAAATTAGGCTAAGATCATATTAAACATAAAAATTTTATAAATTATGAGTTATTTTAAACTTATTTATTAAATTTTTTTTTATATCTTGAACTGCAAATTAATAATAGGTACCATCGAAACTTATGAAATGTTGTTGTTTGAATTGTAGTTGTTTGAGTAACTCATCGCCAGTATAGCTAAACTTCCAAGTTCCAAACTATTGTTTCGTTTCAAGTGACTGTAGTGGATTAATTTAAACATGTCTTTTGCTGGAATACTGAAACGTTACTCAATTTTAAACGGATTCTTCATAAAATCACAGGGATGGCACCATATTTAAGTACAACTTAGAGTATCCTTTCATTCGGGTGTCGACTTAGTCCAGTTAAGTAATAGGTTCTAATAAAAATTGGTCAAATAGATGTTAACAGAGTATAAAGTGCCATTCCATGTATGCCTTTAGTATGCCATATAGTCTCCCACAAAGCTCCCTTCTTTAAATATAAATAACAGGGATGATTTAATTGGTTGTGTTTACAACATGTTTATTCGTACACAGCAATTCTTTTATGGGGAGTAACCCTGACATTTTGATTACTAAGAATGAGCCAGCTATATAAGACTACGGTGATAAGGTTGTCTGAGAGCGTTGAGCGGAGCGACATTGTCATCTTCAAATAGAAGATATGTAGAAATGCTACTTGAATTAATGTTTAATTTTTTTGAATTAACATAGTACATAACATTATAAGTTTTTATGTACTTTGATAGTAAACTTTTAACCAGTATCGACTGAAGAAGATAACTAAACGTTTCAAACTCAGGAAATTCAGTTAGACCCAGCAATCGCGTTTTTTTTACAAAGACTCTGTCGCTGACATTATTTTTAATGCATAACAATTACTCGCATAATAATCCTTAACTGTATAATTCTAAATTTTTTTTTACCAAAGTTTTAATTCTCCAGGTTGCTAAATGTTGGAGCAAGTCCAAACGCCACCTGTCGTCTTGGCTTCGTATCAGCCTGTCACACGGCTGCCCTCATCGGAGGAGACGCCCTGAGCCTCCTCATCAAGTTCGGAGCTGAAAAACTGAGGATAGACAAGCTTGGCAGAACCCCACTCCACTTAGCAGCATGGGCTGGGAATGCGAGACAGGTTGCTATACTGTTGGACTTTCCAGAAGGTAATTAACTGGTATTATGTCTACTTCCCTTGATCCCTTGATTATTCGACTAAAATTCTTGCCTGGTCATCACAATTTTAAAATATCATCTCACTCGCACAAACTTCTATTGGTTTATTTTCGTTATCATAATTTTCAGTAGTGACTATATAAATATTTGCTAAACCTGATGTTTAGTACCTTATAACTTGGAAATATTCTGACTTCTAATTAGGACTTAACACCTTTGACATTAAATTAATTAATTTAATAATAACACATTTGGACATTCAACCGATTTTCATTCTTATTACGTTGGTGAAATGACAAATGGCGGCTGCAGTAGATAATTGACGACTTTTTTCCTACTCAAAGCCACAATATTCGGTTGAATAGATAGTAATAAAGGTTGTTTTAAATGTCTAATACTAGGCTGAATAGATCACAGAAACTTTAATGCTTCCTCATAACGACAATGATGTGGAATTCGCTATCAGGCGCCACTACTGCTTCGGTCTTTTTGGAGACTAGTCTTAGAACCACCAGCTCGTCTGTTACATCCTGAAATGAGGGAATTATGAAAATATCGCAATATCCCCAATCGTTAATTCCTAACTTCTGTCGTTCCTACAACTTGTAGCATTACTGAACGACTTCAGACTTGCTTTATTTGAAGGGATTGGATGGTGCTTATAATTATAATTATATCCTTATAATCGTGTATGTGTGTGCCTGTATCGTGATAATTGTCCTCTCTGTAGTTGTAGGTACACAAAGTATAAAATCCTTACTAATACTATAAATCGCCGTAACTACTCAACCGATTGCTTTGAATTTATGCAGACGTAAAGTTAGAAGTCCGGATTAAATAATAGGGTACTTTTTAACCCGGAATTAATTGATATTCCCGAGGAAAAACAAAAGTATTGGTATAGATGGCGCTGTGTGTATTGGTATATGTCACATAGGCTACTTTTTATTCTTTTGTGACGCGAGCGAAGCCGCGGGTAAAAGCTAGTACTTTATAAAGTGAAAATGATTGCTGTAGAGTGTAGGGCAGGCTCATGTCTTCGAACACAGTGTAAAGTACTTACAATCTCCTTGAGAGCATTAGATGCATGGAGCGACAATGTTCTCAAGTGGTTCGAGTACGTAGCAGCTGTCAAGCTGTCCAGGGTTGTGGTCTCCGGAAAACCTGTGGGAAAGTTACGTTACTATTATTTATTTATTATTATCTACTTTATTGAGTTCCTAAGGGCCGTTTTTTCCTACGCCAGATAAATTTAAACTAAAGAATAACTTTGAATATTTCACAATTCTTTCATATTAAAAACTAACAAATGTCAATTTGGCCTGGACACTTACTCTTGAAACCAATCTGAATGTCAATGCAATAACAATACAATAAAATCTCAATAATTATTCAATGTCAAAACTATACCACCACTATGGTAGCTGTTAAAATAGCATTCAGAGTATGGAATATAAAGCCAAACTCAATACCATGTAGTTCATTCAATATCCACGCAACACGGATGCAATGGGCGCTGGTGTTGCAACTCAAGAGTACGAAATTTCACAATACCAATGTCGATCGATCGGAATTGGATTCAAGAGTAGGAGCTGTTATGTGTCGAGGTCTAGAATTTCATTTTTTTAAGGGTAGCCCCATTCAGTCTGCCAATAGATATAAGTAGGTTACATACCTTCACAGTTAACGATAATAGTTCCCACAACGTTTCCATTTTCATTGATCCGCGTCATAGTGTTGGTAGCACCAGGGCCCTGAAATTGTATAAATTCAATAAGGCTAGTTTGGACTTATTCTCCTGTCTTTAACAATAATCATCATCATCATCACCCGGTATATGTTTATTTACTACCAGGAACAAATGTCACCATCATAGGACGAGGCTTGTCAAAATCTCCGCGCTTCAAGTGGCTTGGAGTGATTCTCCATCCACCTCAAACGCGGAGATTGATCTGTAATCGGTCCTGCGATAAGTTGTATCACCGAAAATTTAAAGGATGCCTATAATAATATTAATAGTGATTTAAATGACCTATCCCTCGGTGAGTGTTCGCCAAAATAAATAATACATACCATGAAATTATGAGCGATCTCCATGATTACAATGAAATCGAGTTTTCTTCTCGTGTCACCTGTAAAGTTCTTTCCAAATATATTTTACAAAAACGAATAACGTTTGACAGCAGATACTAAAGAAGAAAACGAACTGTGAATAGTTTGATGGCCAGAATCATTCTTTTGATATGTCTAACTCCTTTACAATTTTGGTTTGTTTTCAGTTGGCAAATGTTGGCCACTATCTTATTGATGTTGGGGGTTGATTGGGGATAAGAATTTGTAGAAAACTTTACAACATATAGAGGACCTGATTGAATTCCTCTTAGCATTAACTTACACATATGTAAACAGAATTCACGTCGGAGTAATATCAAATTTTCCAATAATTAGATTAATTTTAATCCACCGTAGTCAATTTATTTATTATTGTGATGTTAACACGGCTTTACACCAATTACATTAACACACATACAAAGAGAATCAAACAGTTACAATAACGAAAAAGAAGAAAGAAAAAAAATGAAATACATAAATAAATATCAGATTAAAAAAATACAATTAAAATTCAATTAAAAAACGTAAAAAATCAGACAATTACAATAGTAGATGACAAAAAAAGTGTACCTATATCACAGTAAAATGAAAACAAAACATTTAATTATACACTTCAACACAGGCTTAAAAGACTTTCACAAAAACTGAGACAAACATTTTTTTTTTCAAATATACCTCAAGATTCCCTTAACATTAGTTTTTACTCATTAACTAATACTATTTCATATCTTAATTATTCTTTTTTATCCCCCCAGATATCCAAGAGAGAGTTGGCACAGAAAGCATGTCTTCAGAAACGGAGGAAGACGTCAGGAAGCTGTGTCCTCTCATCAAGGAGATGACGAATGTTCGCTGTGACCTTGGAGAGGTGGATGTGACATTACCGAAACCATGGAAAGACAATATTGATCATAATTGTCGGGATATTAAAGGAAGTGTAAGTCTTAGACTTAGTTTTGTTCTAATATTCCAGGAGAAATACCGTTCTTTTGAGACGTATTATGATGAAAAGAGTAGGTGAACAGGGCTCAGATATTAATTTAGAGTATCAGTTTCGAAATATACGTTTGGAAATGTGAACATACAGACTTAATAGATTGACATAAACAGACTTAATAGATTGACGGGATTAACAAATCAATAGTAAAGATTTGCTTCAGGAAAACTAATTTTTGAAATTCAATACAAGTACAAAATGGCTGCTAACTATGACGAGCAGTCAAATATGCAGTCAATCATCTAACAACAAATTCTTTTACTGAAAATCCCTAGACTACGAAGCGAAATATTTAGGCAACCTGCGCAGCCTAACGATACAATGATTGTCGTGTCGATAAATATGCATGGTACGCAACGTTCTGTGTATAATTTCGCCTGTACCTCATTTTGCGAACACACGTTCCACCGAAATTTCATCAAGGAATAATATTCTGGATAAATTCAACCATTTTGGTCAGGGAACCTAATTATGTTCTCAATAATTTTATGCAAAATATCAGACTTGTTTTTGTATACCTACCTATGTAGAAATGACTATAATCATAGTACTTTTTTTTTGCTCCTGTGTTGTACCTACATATCTGAGTTTAGACAATACATACATCGGTGTTCCTAAAAAGGAAACGAATTATTTCTCAAAAATATAATTATTATCCTGTTATTTTTTTATAGTAACTATCGTGAGACATACTAAATAAACTAAAAACGCGGGTTACTCACGTGAATACTGAGAAAAGTTCTACTAGTTTCGAAACACGCTATTGAGTAAACTGAGCTGCGCGATGTCACCTCGACCGCGCTCGCTACTCATGAGGAAGAACTCCTCTGTAGTTCGAAACTAGTAGAGCTTTTCTCAATATTCACGTGAGTAACCCGCATTTTTAGTTAATTATCCTGTTATGTCATAAGCTGCATATAAGGAGGTAAAGCTGCCGCCGTGCAGTTTGTGTGCTTCAGAATTTTGTTCATCATAAAATCTAGCGAATGTAATCTTCTATTCTTTAGCTTAAATTACAAAGACGGTCAAGTTCCCGAGTCCATCAGAGCACTTGTGACTTTTCTCATTTCTGATGTTGCGGGTCTGGTCATTTGAGATAGTTTATCATCAGGCCATAAGTCTGCTTATTTTGCCGCCTTATTGACTAAGGGTGGCCAAGCAATGCTTCGGCACAAATGGGCCAGCTCGACCGAAGTGATACCACTGCCTCACAGAAAACCAACGTCGCATCGCAATCGTAACGTAATAGTATAAAGTGCGTTCGGCGCTTTGATTGACCGGCTCAAGTGAACCAACCAATCAATCAGAACGCTTAACTCGCTCGATACTGTTACGATAGTTATTCGTTTTTGGCTCTCAGGTGATCCGACTGCTCGTACTCTGGATTATGACATAAAAAAACTACAATCCTAAATTAAAAAAAAAAACAAAAAGCAAATCGCTTTCCTATACTTCCTAAGTTCTGACCCTTCCAGTAAAATAATTTCGTAGCCTTCCGTCCGTAGGCTAGTTAGCCTCAAGATGTTTGATGAATGGCTGCCCTACGTGGCCCCAATGTCTCAGATACGACCCCCGGTAATGAAGCCGCGGGTATTTCACTACACCGCTCTACAGATGAAGATTGAGTTAGTTTTGCGTTGATTTCAATGGGGAAAAATGTTTGCATGGGTTGGATAGAAATTGCCTCGTGTATGCCGGTTGTAAGTGGGAAAGAAAGAAAGAAATAAAACACGAACAAAGGCTGACTTAATTCCGTTGACCCATATTATTTACGTTACGATTTTTAAACTTATCTTAGAGTTAATTTCGTTTGATATTTCGCATTTTTTTATGGCATGAGCCGGTAAACGAGGAAACTTAATGCCTGATGGTATGCAATCGGCGTCGCCCATGGACACCTGAAACACAAGAGGCGTTACAAGTGCGTTACCGGCCTTATAGGGATTACGAATGTCGGATATTCAGGGATTGGGAAGATTGCGGAAGGGGGAGGGGTTAGTTGGGCCTCCGTTAACCTCACTCACACGACGAAACATGACGCAAGCGTTGTTTCACGTTGGTTTTTTGTGAGACCGTGGTATCACTCCGGTTAAGCCGGCCAATTCGTGCCTAAGCATGGCTCTCCCACACTTGAATGTGATGCTTTGTGAAAGTATTGCAATGTGATGGACGACACAACTGGTGGATAATAAAATATTTCGTAAGTGGACGTATTAAATTATAATACATTGTTTTTTTTCCCTTCTTGAAGACAAAAATGAAATCTTTCATGTTAGGTTTTATAACCCATTTTTTATTTTACACTACCCATTTTTTCTACTCAGATGCCTCTATTCCAACCTGGTTGGACGCCGCTCCACGTGGCTAGTTCGTGTGCTCGCAAACATTGCACCCGGCTACTGCTGGCTGCTGGAGCAGACCCTAACATCACCGATGTGGAAGGTCGAACACCCCTCGACGTGGCTGGCTACGCGTACTATTATGAACAGGACGTCAATGAGAAGCAGTAAGTTATATTTTTATATACTTACGTACTATTTCAAATCACTTTTAAGATGACTTTTAACTTTGAAAAAGACTGCACGTTTGGTTCGGTGGCTGGGCAACCGGCTGCCGCACAACACTTTGAGTGATCCACAAATTGTTGTTCCGGGTCTGGGTATCATGTGTATGTGAACTTGTATGTTTGTAAACGCACCCACGACACAGGAGATAATGCTAGTGTGGGGCAACGTACTTTTGAAAGGAAAGAAAAAAATAAATAAATTGAAATACCTGCATCACGCGGTGGTACTTCAGACTAGTTAAAATGTTGAGGAATTGGGACAAAGAGATGCCCCAGCTTCACGTCCTCGTGTCTGACAATCTTCTATAGTTTTTATTAAAACTTTAGTGAGACATAGTAAATTAAGTATTATGTTTTCGGCTTACTCACGTCATCATTTGACGGGGAACTCGACTAGTTTCAAGCCATGCTAGGGGCCATCACAGATAGGGGAAAGTGTGCGTGAATCACAGCAGAGGGCGCGTTGGCCCACACCGCCGCGTCGGCGTCGCGGGTCGTGGAATATTGCTCATGAATATGAGCCTCTAGCATGGCTTGAAACTACTCAAGTTCCTTATTAAACAGTTACCTGGGTACTCCGAAAACATAATAATTAATCTTCTATAGTCCTGCAAAAACTATCTTATTAAGTGTACCAACTTTTTCATTTGAAAACAAAATCGTTTTACTCAAATTTATCCTTACCACTAGCATATAAACTCTAGCACATAATGAAGCCTAGGACTATCCCTATTTACTAATTATTTCATTAATTCTCGTCAGGTATTGCCAAATCCAAGTAAATATTACTAGAGGAGAAATCTAGCTAAATTATGTATGTAAATTCACTAATTTGATCCCGTATTCAAGGCAAGCTGTGAAATGAAAGCGATTACGATGTACTTGGTAGGTAGGGATGGTTTAAATGAAACAACCGTTTAGGATCAGGCCCGTTTGGGCAGACTACTGCTCTGGACAATGGGACTCTTCTACATTGGATGGATTTGCTGTAAGCTCCATGTTGTACAGGAGGGTTGAGTATCCCAGTTTAAGAAGTCCATGTTTGTCAGAGAGCGCTGAAGCTGATACTTTAGTAAAAATGGGAGTTAAATTGATAGTCAATCTCTGAATTGATTCGAGTGAATCCCAAAGCTTGCTCAATATAATTAAACAATTTGCATTTAAGCTGACTGCCTCGTTGGCCGAGTGGTCGCAAGTGCGACTGCCGGGCAAGGGGTCTCGGGTTCGATTCCCGGGTCGGGCAAAGTACTACTGGGTTTTAAAAAAAAATCAGTGGTAGCACGGAGTCTGGAATTGTGCCCGGTATATGGCAATAGGCTCACTCCCTATTACATGGGATTCATAACATAAATAGTGAAAAGTGGGAGTTACATTGTACAGTGGTATTAAGTGCCGTAAAAGGCGTGATGTTATGTTATGTTATGTTATGCATTTAAGCTTCGTATGCTCTGTGATTTTAGAAGTAGCCGTATCCTACAGTAGGTCATTTGTAAAACATCTCCGTGGTTTGTCACATTTTTGCATTACAAATAAAACGAACTAAAGGCAGGCACAAAACAAACACTGCCACTCATAACATAACACGCCTTTTATTCCCGAAGGGGTAGGTAGAGGTGCACATTATACCACTGTACAATTGTAACACTCACTTTTTACTATTTATGTTATGTATGAGTCCGGTGTAATAGGGAAAATAAATAAATAAACTGCCACTCATCAATAGAAAATCACACACATCTGCTAGGTAACCCAAATTATAACACAGCAGTAACCACCCACACAGCCCAACCTAACACCCGCTCAACGAACCAATTCATCCCTTAATCACCCCCTAATTAGGTACATATTCGCTTAATTACAACGATATTTCAGTTTTACTAGAATTTATTCCACAATTCATTTCCGTGGGTAACGTAGTGTGAAATCGCCTATGAGCACCGCCGTCTATTCTAATTACTGAGATATTATTGCCTGAGAAAAGATTCATTAGAGCTCCAGCTTGCTAGTTATTTCTCCATCATGGTTTCGTATGATTGGTTAGTACAGTGGTAATAGTTAGGATTCTAGGGAAGATAATAGTGTTTATGATATTATAGATTTCGAAAAACATACTTTAATGTAACGTTCATTTTAATTATTGGCAATTGATTCGCCACTTTGTTGCGGGAATCAAGATTCATGTACCTGGTACGCGCCGGATTTCAGTGTTCCGGTATTTTCATTTTTTCACTGTAAATCCTGGCTTATATCGTATCTTATATCGTATGTATCGCTGGAGTTGCAGCGGTTTTGGAAGGTTGTGGCGGGTTTGTCCCATTAAAAAAAAAAGATTTAAGATAGACAAACCATTTTCTTGGTTTGTCTTCTTGGTTTTTCACAAATTATAGGTCGATCAAAGTCAAAGTCGATCCTAGACTTTAAGTCCAAAAATAATTCTATCAGCATCTGTTCTTATGATCTGCTACCACACAGACTCCGAAAGACTAATTTCTTAGCCTCTTATCTGCCGGCATGTTAGACACAATAGAAAACACATTGTGTCTCGCGTATACCTACGTAGTTCCGGCATACCAGGGGTTAGTTAGTCCTGTTTTTGAACTTATGGTTAGACATATTTTTTACGCTTCAATGGGAAATAAGAACAATTAAACACACATTAACGCCCGAATACTGAAAGGCTACTCAATTCTAAGTCGTACTTCAATACAGTGCTATCTCTGCCATTTTATAAAGAGTTTACAGTAACAGAATTATAATTAAGCGCGACTTAAAATTGTATTGTATATATAATGAGTATTTCTGCGTTAGGCTAGGACTCACGGCACGATTTTCTCCCACACCCGCCGTGGTGGCGGAATGAAGGCGAAATTTTCAAATCGTACCAGACCACAGTTTTAGCGCTGGTTTCACCACCTCCATATAAGTACATGATAAACTTATGTGACAGATAGTTCATATAAATTACGTTCTTAATTCAAATTTATCTGGTATATAGCGGCTATCCAGATATTGTGAAACGGGCCCTTAGTCTTTTAGTCAGTTTGAGTTCAGTCTATTCCTATGCAAGAGAATTTCACAATAATACATATTTATGTTCAGTTTCGTAGAAGTAATAAGAATGCTCCTCAAAGCTGGTGGAAACTTCAACACAATGAAGAACACAACCCTAGACAATCTGGACACTCCATTACACACTGCGGTGGAGATCGAGAGCTTGGACGGCATACAGGAGCTCTTGGATGCTGGAGCAGTCGTCACCTGTCTCAACAGAGCTGGTCAGACACCACTGCATGTGTGTGTCAAGAAGAATCTGGAAGAACATTTACAGGTAATGAGAATTCGATTAAGCATAGACTTAAAGGAACTATATTTAAAAAAGTGGAAACTACATTTCCTTCGGGTTGTTACATGTCGCGGAGAACCTAACGGGTAACCGGGGCTCTGGTTCGACGTGCAGGAGAAGGAACGGGGTGGTTTTTAGTCAGTAAGAGTCTGACACGCCCTCCCGCCTCACCCAGGCGGGAGCAATTATTCGATGATTTTCCCCCCTTAAAAAAAGGGTTGTTACATCACTACTAACCAGACGTGAAGATATAGATGTCAAAGTTACGTAGGGCTTGTATTTCGTCTTCTATCACTTAAGTACGGTTAAAAATAGTTTTTTACCTTTATGATTTTGTAATTAATATTAAATTAAAATTACTTGTATAAAATTAACTTTTTTCATATTTAATCAAAACAGGTAGGTACCAAACCCAATTTAGGTCTTATTACTTTTTTAAACTGTCAAACACCAAGCGGTCACCGGTGACCGCGACCTATTGTTCTTTAATTGTGTCTATAAAACCGGTACTCGACGAGTTAAGGTTACCGCTACAACTTAGACGTAATAAACGTATATACTGAAGACCTAATTGCTACGACCTTTAGATAAAATTAGTAAACACTGTAGTTTATTTACTACTTAACATTTGAAGTCAATTGAATTTTCTCTCGTAATATGATTAAACTAAGAATAAAGTAATATTATTATATTTTCTTTTTCATCTCAATATTTTACAGCTTTTAGCAAACTACGATTATATGAACGCGAATCCACTGCTGGCTATAGTGGACGTGAAGGATAAGGAAGGTCACTCAGTGCTGCAGGCCGCCGTGGAAGCTGCCTGGGTGCCAGGAGTCTGCATCGCTTTGGAGGCAGGAGCTGATGTCACTTCGAAGGTACGGTATTGAGATCTATTTTTTTCGCTTAGTGATAACTTTGGAGAACGGGACCTCGTGTTTTACGTATGGTAACAGACGTGTAACGATATAATTACCTATTTGGATAATACGGTAGTTTCCTAAATTTTATTTTAATGTCCGTCTGATAGATTATTTTAATACATTAGACATGTATTTTTACTTTTTTCACAAAATTCAATACTTTAGACGATATATTAATTTGAAATGTCGTGTGACGTCACAGCTTGCTACATTTTACAGTACGTTATGACGTAACGACCCCCCACTCCTAAACTTAACGCCATTTTATCCAAGTATTGTAGCTATTGGTAGCTATATACAAGAAAATAAAATAAAATACGTGTCTAATATTTTTCATTATGTAACTGACGGACTAATTAGATTTTTATTTTTCTTACCCTGTAAACTACTCAATTATGATAAACGACACGCGGTCGACTTTTGTGCCTCAAAAACACTTAAAAGGTTTTAGTTCAGAGTCATATCTTTTTTGAGTTGTAATTGTTTACTTTAATATAATCTAGAATAGTTGGTAGGGTCTAAAACTTAAAAGTAATATAAACAGGTTACCCAATAAACATTGTTTTTCAGGCTAACGACGGAGAAACACCAATCCACTCAGCAGCTGCACTAGGCAACCTAGACGTACTAAACGAAATACTCAGTATTGCTAAACAAAGAGACGCAATAGACTATCAAAATGAAGAAGGAGAAACACCTTTATACAAAGCCATAATCAACGGCCATGTCAACTGTGTAAAACAAATACTTAACGAAGGAGCTAATTTAAAAATAATGTTACCAGGAGACGTGAACATTTTACACGTAGCATCCGATTATGGACATTTAGAAGTTCTAAGAATACTTCTAGAGTTTAATGAAACAGTTACAGATGCCTTAATTAACACTCTAACAGCAGGAGATAGGAGGGGCTTTGGTCCAATACATTTCGCAGTTTTTAACAACCACGTTGAATGCGTAGAACTACTTTTATCCAAAGGAGCTGATATTAGACTAAGAACTACAAGTAATCCATACAAATCTTCAACTCCTTTACATTTGGCTGCTATCAAAAACCATCTAGATATAGCTAAGATTCTGCTCAAATTTGATAAGACGACTGTTCATGAAGTGAATAGTATGGGCTGGTTTCCTTTGCACGCGGCTAGTCATCACGGAAGCAGAGATGTAATAACAATTCTACTTCGCGAAGGAGCAGACTTGTCAGGATACACAGACGGTCCGAAGAAATATAGAAGAACAGCTATAGACATGATAATAAACAACTTGTCAAAACCAACAGAATTTATGGAAGATGTATTTGACTCCTACATTTCAAGCAATGGTACGGACTTGCAGGATCATAATTGTGAAGTGACCGTGGATTATGGGATTTTGATGCCAACAGTTTGTGAGATGGAACAGATGAAGGTCATAGAAGCTTTGCTGAAGACTGGGAACAGATATGGCCAGAGAAGATTACTAGTTCACCCATTGGTAGAAAGTTTTCTGTTCTTAAAATGGAAAGCGTTGTTGCCATTTTTCTACACAATCATAGGTTTATATGCAATTTTCTTGCTGTCTTTGACCGTGTTTGTGGTATCAGTATTTTTGTTCAGAGATACTCATGAGAAAAGGCCGCAGTGGTTGGACCCAGCGCTCTGGAGTTATATCGTTTATGCCACGATAGCCATGATATTAATACAGGTTAGTGATTTATTTTTGTTACTCTCTATCATCACGACAATTTTATTGGTCTTATTAGGGTTCGTGCTGGAAAAGCTTACAATATTTTTTAGGATATTTAAAACGGCGAGGTCGTTGTTGGGATCAGTAAAAGCAGTGCTGCTGAAGTACTGAAAATGAGGTTCAGAGTTTAAGCTTATTATATTAATTTGATTGCTTAAATCCTTAGTTTGGTGCTAATAGCATTGATAACGCGAGAGGGTTTTAGACACAAAAGATGGAATCTGACTGGTGTTATATTACAAGCTATACTTTGTAAATTAAATTTAAATACACATCATATCCAAAAACCTTTACACCTAGGACGTGCGATCATAAACATTGTAACCCATATTTTCCAAACACGTGGAAATATAAAATACATAAGCTTTAGAGCTTATAAGCTCTAAAATCCAACACAATGTTTGTTGATGTTAGATTGAATTTAGATAACACCTTCTATAATAACTAGAAGTACCTATTTCGACGTTTTTCTTATATCGGGTAAATTCTAGCCATCTCCTTAAACGTATATTTTGCTTGTAAATTTTCTCTTTAGGAAAGTATCTTGTTACAACCAGTTGCTTATAGGAAATATCACGTTCACACTTTTCATGTTGCATTTCACAAGAGTGAGTCGAGTAAGCTCTTGAGTTCGAGCCTCTCTGAACTTATTGCGTTACGTTCCTCAATTGTGACTTTTGGCTTTTTCATTTGTAGTATTATCAGTAATAGAACCGATTCTAGATTCTAAAAAGGTGCTAAATGTGTGTTTTTATTTACTGTTGCCTATTGCATGACTTTATAATTTAAGTATGAGTTTCTCAAAACTTGATAGACCGTAGAATATTGCATGTGCCGCCGGTTTTTAATTTAAACCCAAGGATGTTGGTTACTTTTTGGTCTTCTATTGTTGAACGAATTTCACAGTTCTGGTATATTGATATTAGCAACTTCAAAATTAAATGTACTTTAATTGAAAAATCAACTTTAATTAAAACTTTTTGTTCACAGGAACTTCTCTACATGAACGTTAAAAGTAGTAGATACTTTCTGCAGCTGGAAACTTGGGTCAAATTCGGATCTTTAGGTTTTGCAGTGATACTCCCATATACCATAGTCGTGGTGAACCTGAACGATGATGAATGGCCTCGGCATGTAGCTACAGTGGCTTTACTGCTGTCCTGGCTGGAAATGATGTTCTTACTGTCCCGGTTTCCAAATTGGGGCTACTATGTGCTAATGTTCGGAAAAGTCGCCTCTAATGTTGTGAAGGTAAGGTTTTAAATTGTTTTTTGATTATATTAACCTTTTTTATCATGTTCAAACCGTATTTAAAGGTTGTGACTTGGGTTTGGCTAATTGAGTGGTCACGCAAGAGTATCTGCCTGACTAAGGGGTCTCGGGTAAACCTGGATTACTGAATCATGGCTTAGTTTATTATGGTGTGCCTATGATAACATACTCGTCTTTTATTATATGACAGATGATGAGACTTATGTCTCATATAATAAAAGACGAGTTATTATAATTGAACTGGCAACTAGTATTAATTATCATTTATTACTAAGAATAAAATCTTTGATATTATTATCACATATTTAATTTCTATTACAGATTCTCCTAACCTTCATGTTCTTAGTGGTCGGGTTTTCCCTCAGCTTCATGATACAGTTCCGATCCCAAATCCCGTTCGACGGGCCCTGGGCAGCACTCGTCAAAACAATCGTCATGATGACGTCAGAGTTCGACTACGGAGCCTTATTCGACGAAGAACATTCAAAAGAACTAGCCACTTCTCTTATAATAGTCAGAATCATCTTTTTAATTTTCCTTATTTTAGCAGCTATAGTACTCATGAATTTGCTAGTAGGTGTTGCTGTTAACGACATTAATGATTTAGAAGTACTAGGTAATATTAGAAGGCTAGTCAAACAGGTAGAGTTCTTAGGGACACTAGACACTTTAGTTTACAACAGATTATTCAGTGCTATTCTACCAAAAAGAATAAACAATAGCTTGAAGAATAAACGTAATGTCCTATGTGTGATGATTCTGAAGCCAGGTAAACCAAGATGGAAGCATTCTAGAACATTGCCATCAAGGATAAAAGATGCAATTTTCACCAAAGCCCAAGCACAGCAAAAACAGATAGAAGACGAATTAGGTTTGCTAACGTTTAAGACGAAATTAAGTGAAATGCACGATGCTATAATGGCTATGAACAAAAAGAATGAAGAAAAAGAAAAACCTGAAACTATATTGAAGTTACCAACTGATACTAAAGCCAGGGTTAAGTTTGATGAAGTAGCTCACCATCTACACGACCTTGATGATGCAGTTGTGGAGATGAAGACGCAAAACCAAGAGTATGTTGAGGAGTCTAAGTGTGCAATGGAAGAACTGAATTCTAAGATAGATAGGGTGTCTTTGGAATTAGACACTATTAAGCAGTTCTTGTCTAGGTTAGAACGTAAGCTTAGTAGATGATTGTTTGAAAGCTTTTATTTGTAATAAAATTGATTTATTTATAATTTTAGTGTCTTTATTATTGGTTTGATAAGTGCTATTTAAAATCTGAATGGTTTTGTGGTCTCTATGTTGAGCGATGTTAAAATGGAGTCATTTCTCTTCTCCTATAGTCATGATTGATATTTCCTATTAAAGAATTCTATGCCACTTATAGCCTACAATGAGAAATGGGGTCAAATTCGAACGCCTTTTGCTATTACTGAAACAGATCCCTCGAATACTTCCCAAAAATCCTTTCTAAGCCCAATAATACGTAATTATAACTAAGTACACGTATCACGTAACAAAAATAAGAACTAGCACAGCGCTAAATACTCAGTTATAACAAACTAAATGATTTACTTCAAACCTTGTTACTCATATCCAGTGTAAGATGACCTCTGACCTTTAGTCCAGGTTCCTTTCCATCGTCCACTTTTGTTGATGGTACGAGGGGCGGGGAAGATCAATGTATAGTGGATATGAGGTGCTACGTGAGCAGAATAATGATACATGGTATTGTTGGCATCAAGGAGAAAATATGGCTTATTTTGATACCCGGTGCCTTGATTGGCTATTGTTGGTTTGTTTACCGTTCGTTGAATGTGGATTTTTTGCCGTATGTTTACTTATATGTCGTGATAAAACAACCAGATTAGACCATAAATCTGTTGTAAAAAATGTCTCTAAAACACCTTAAAAAAATTACTTAATGTTTCTAACAGGGACCGCAACTACGTCCATATCTCGGACATGGTTTCAGCATACTGAGAATTTCATTATCACCATCATATCAGCCGAAAGACATCGAATACTGAAGAACCTTACCACAGGGCCTTACCTAATGAGTTCTAGATCAGCATCCAGAGGCTTTCTGAAACTTAAAACTCGAATATATTTGGATCATTGTCAAAAGTCTTTAAGTGCCACTGTTGAGCAAAGCCAAAAAGAGTTTGAGCATTAATCACCACGCTTGCTCAATGCGGGTTGACGATTTAAATCTTATAATTAGAATTATAAGCACAGGTCACGATGTTTTGCTTCTCCGTTTGTCAGTGGTGTCTAAATAATCTTAGAAAGTACATGTAACTCGGAGAAAGTCACATCGGTACTTGCCGTTGGTAGGTAAAACTCGCATTCTCATGCATGAGAAGCTGACGTCCTAACCTACGAGCCGCCATGACAGTACAATATATGGATACTTGTCGTTCTTAAGTGCAGTGACATAAATACATGGAACACAATAAACATAGTCCCAATTATTATAGACCAGTAATCTATTTCAGAAGTCAATCAATCACGTAATATCTGTCAAAGCTTTTGACATTAGGAAATAAGGCGTGTAGCTCTAGTATAATATAGTAATTAGGTCCCTATTTGATTAACGGGCGTAATGATCGGTACTAATGTGTTAGTAATGAGCTTCTTAATGGAAGGGTTGTGTTAGGCGATATTAAGGTAAGGTGAGGAAGCCCTAAGAAAGTGGGGTGCTAGTGATCGCGAGAAAGTAGTACGTTAGTTATGCAGTGTGTATATTATTGACACAAATACTCTATAACATCAATTGCCCATGACATTATGTACCTTGATGGACTACTATAACAGACTTCCTCTTCATACGGTAGGTACTTGCCAAATAGTCAAATTCAATACTTTTTCGAACTGTCAAAAAACGACAGTTTTCTAAGAATTTCGTACGAGATTCTGTATTGTGACGTCACGTTTTTTTATCGTCAAACAGCATATTTATTTCTTAAAAATTTGCTGGAAAAATACTAAAATTATGTTGGTCATAAAAAAATCAATCAATGAAAGTGTGATTATTTTTAAAGTTTTAATGTATTGTACAGTCGGAATAATTTATTTTTGATTAAGGAAAGTACCCAATTGGGTACATTGATCTCCATGCTTGACAGGCGAAAAAAATCCGGTTTATCAAAGGATACTGCCCAGTCTCTGGTAAATAGGTAGATAAGTTAGTAAATGTAGTTATATAGTTGACTTTGACGACAACAACCCTGGGAAGACAAGAGGTAGAGGTGTCAAAAATCAAAGCTAAAGTAATTGTTACGAGCACTGCATTGTGGCAAGTGATCCCGCTAGTACACCTCCTTGATGATTTTGGTATACGACTTGGTATTAAGGTTTCAAATTCATGGCCAACAAGCGGTCTCGGGTTCGATTCCCAGGTTGGACAAAGTACTATAAGAGTTAAAATAAAATCTCACTAGTAGCACAAAGTCTGGGATTGTGCCCGGTATATGGCAATAGGCTCACCCACTACTACATGGGACTCGTAACATAGGTATATAGTGGAAAGTGGGTGTTACATTGTATAGTGGCAATAAGTGCTGTACTATAATGAGCACTTCTGCCTACCCCTTCGGGATAGGGCTTCAGTGCTAACCGTCCTATAAGCCTTACACAGGAAAATCAAGGCTAGACGCTGGCCTTGAAGAAGTTTTCGCCGTACCGCGCCTATTGTGGCCCTATCAGCCCAGACAGGTGCCCCGTAGCACACGCATCCCAGGTAGGTTGCTCCGTATATGATCCTGAGCGTAAGAAAAGAGAGACCCCAGGTGGCTTTTGAAATTCGCGTCAGCGCATAGAAGTTATTTTTGGCTTTCTCACTAATAGCCTTAATGTGCTCAATGAAAGAAAAGTTTTTTTCCAAAACTAGACCGAGATAGCAAACCGACTCCTTTCGTTTTACGGAAACGTTGTTAAATTTAATAGACGGCCACGACTTTAGATTTCCTTTAAGCAATAGCTGGTAAGTTTTATGGGGTGCAAAAGTCAAGCGATTTCGTTCACCCCATCGCGAGATCCTACTGAGACAGTCCTTAGCCAAATACTCCAGTCCGGCGCGGGTATTTGACTGTACTAGCAAAAGGCCATCATCCGCATATCCAGTCAAAGTACAGCTACAAGGAAGGGGAATCGCGAGCAAATCATCAAATCCTAAATTCCATAAATACGGGCCAATAACCGAGCCCTGAGGACATCCCATTGATAAAGACTTCGACCGAGAACAATGACCAAGCTTCAGTTTAACGGAACCGTGAAGGAAATACGTGTATATTAATTTATATATGTTACTAAAACAGCCTCGACCTTTCAGTTTTAAGAGTAACATTGGCCACCATGCGTTATCAAAGGCACCGGAAATGTCCAGAAAAATGCCTACTATATACCTGTGCTCAGACGAATTTACCATGGATCGGACAGAAAGAGCCGCGTCGACAGTAGACTTTCCTACAGTGAAACCAAATTGATTGTTGTGGAATTTTGGTCCACCTGGCAGTAAACGAGGAACGATAAGTCGCTCAAGTAGTTTCCCTAAAGATGGCAAAAGCGTGATAGGCCGGTATGACTTAGGGTCATCGGGGGGTTTATTTCCATTTTTGGGGATTATGCGAATGAATCCACGTCGCCATACACGAGGAAAGACACCTTCCGCGATACAACGGTTGTATACAGTTAGGATCGCATCAGCCGCGGATTTACATGCTTCGCTCGCGGGCGTACTTCCGGTAGATCTTGAGGTGCAGCGACGTGCTGCTATGTACTACAGTGCGAGACCTAATTTGTCAGCAGGCTTTCTAGCACAACGTGATAGAAATAAAATTGCTAGATTGTTTAAGCCAATAACGGACGTTTGGGATGAGCTTATGACTGAATGGCAGGGTAGATGGGCATCTTCTATTAAGGGTCGCCACCTATATCAGTTCTTCCCATCCGTGCATGAGCGGCTGGAGAGGACATGGTTGGAGGTGGATCACTGTGTTGCCCAGTTTCTTACTGGCCACGGCAACTTTAAGAGCAAATTGTTCTCATTTAAACTTATTGATTCACCATGGTGCCAATGTTCGACAGTGGAGTTGCAATACGAGCAGTCGGCCCATCACATACTCTGGGAGTGTGATCTCTGGCAATATGAACGTAACACTATGTTGAATAATTTAATTGTTTCGTCAGGTGTAGCTTATTATACGGACCTTGTGGAATCTAGAACAAATTTCCGTGCGTTTAGGCGCTTTTGCCATACCTATTATTGGAACCAAGTATAACAGCTCACACATAGGACCCACTAAGTTTTTTAGTCAAATTTCCGTGGTGCTTGGCGACTGGGCTTCACCCAGTTGTACAGTCTTTTCTTTGTGCCTTTAGGCTTAATTCATTCTGTCTCCTGCAGTAATTCACCGAGGGAAGTGGAAACTACAGTTTTTTCTTCTTCTCCTCTTATAATATCTTCTGATTCACTTCGTTGCGGGAACCAAGACAGTTACTCATGTCCCTGGGACGCGCCGGACTTCAATGTTCCGGTGTTTTCATGGTTGTATCTACTGTAGATCCTGGCTTACAGGAGTTGCAGCGGTTTTGGGAGGTTGTGGCGGGCTTGTCCCAAAAAAAAAAAAATACCCCTTCGGGATAATGGGTGTGGGTTATGTTAAATTCATTGATCGAACAAAATGGTAATGGACTTTCTAACAAAAGTTGTGACCACAATTTTAGCTTTTATACTTTCAACAATTTATACCTAACGAAGCGTAAAAATCAAAATTGGAGACTTAAAAATACTAAAGTGCGATTCAAATCACAATAATAATAAAAAACAAAAAATACGGTACCGCTTATACTCAGGCCAAACCTCAAACATAACTGAATCGGTTAATTTGTATAAAACGGCTTATGTTTGGTACAATCGCGTTTAATTAAGGGTTGGTTCCAATAATTAAAGGTTGTTACTACATTACGTAACGTTACAATTATATTCTACTTTAAGGGTTTTCGGTTCACGCATTTTATTCCCTGAAAGGGCAGAGGTGAAGATTAAACGTAGGTAGATAAAACTAACTTTGCACTAGTTATGTTATGAGTACCATGTTATAGTGGGTGAGCTTATTGCTTATAAACATTTACATCGTGCGCAATTTCACATCCGTGCGATTACTGAACAAAAAATCTAAAAGGCTCTGATACATT